GTGTAGGCCACCATAACAGCCGATGGTCGCTCTCCGCTCGTATTAATAGACCGTGACATCAGAATAAATGACTGGAGGGTGTATTAAATGTGCACCTTCGGTTGGCCACCAGAATTTAAGCGCCGGTCATGGTGATGGTGTGGGCCGCCATAAAAGCCGATGTTCATTGGCCGTTTGAAGGCCAATTCGAACAAATCTAAACTGATTCTAAAATTTGATGCTATTTCCGACATTTTTTGGTTTCAATCAATAAAATTTAAAAAAAAAAAATGTAAAAATAATGGCGTTTGACTTTGTTGCAGTTTTTTTTCTCACCCTGTATGTGTAGTGTTTTAATCACATAGAAAGAATATTCATCCGATTTCACTATAGTACATAATGCAACTATACTAGTTCGCCAATGGGTGTAACGTATCTGTTCTATTTCAAAAAGGTGGACTACGTGTCACCAGCATTTAATTTGATTTCCACCCTAATATCCCATTTCTTGTGAGGCATATTCCTTTGAGCAAAACACATTTCCCTCCTTTTGTATTCTAACACATATTTATCCTTTGACATTTAACTTTGTCTTCTTTGTTATTTTCAACATTCTGTCAGGGCCTTTGTCATACAAAAGTTACTCTTTTAATGACCAACAATGGCCCGGTGATGATGTTGACCTTTAGAATTTGTGAAGATGCACTTTTAGATGTAACCTTAAAGATTTGCCTGTTTATCTTTTTGAAGATTTCGTTTAGAGAACGATACAAAATCAACACGTAACACCGTGTGTGACACAAAGCATGCTTGGGTGGATTTTCAACCCTGTCTTGGTTCTTTTTGGGGGGGAGGAAAAATTGCTGCAGGTTCGTTGTATTTTCAAAAGTTTTGCAATAGTATCTCAAATTCCATTTCCAAATTCTATGAAATTAATTGCCGATGATGTCATTTGGGGGAAATCTATGAAATCTGTGCGGACAATCTTTTTAATTTTTTGGCATTTTGATGCCGTTGACGACGACGACGACACACACACACACATGGCCACATGTGTCAATTAGTGAGCCCCCTTTTTCATGGTGTAGTATAATCCGCTCAGCCGGCAGGTTGGTTGCAAAACCATTTCAGTTTCTTTTTTTTTTTTTTTTTTGTCTTTTCCTCAAATCTTGACAATATCCCCAATTTGACTTGTCTTCATCAGGGTGCTGCTGCTGCTACTGTTGTTCCTTTGTCCTGCCTGTCATATATGTATGCGTGTATGTATGGATGCTATGACACTAATCCCTCTTGAACGTGCGTGTGTCACATGCACATTGCGTGTGTCCTCGTTTGGGTTTTTTCACGCTTTAATGGCATATCATTGCAACGTCATAAGGGAAAAGAAAACAAAACAGATTTTTTTCACTCAAAAAATTGGCAGGAAAAAAGAAAGAAATACAATGACAGTAATTGCTACAGATGTCCCCTTTCAGATTTTAGAAATTCTTTGGAGAGGAAATTTCATAGAGAATATAATCCGCTAAGAACAAAATGTTGGAAAAACACTTTGTTTGAAAATACTTTGTTTTAATTTATTTCAACAAACATATTCTTCTTTGAAAAGCTTTGTGATTTTCTAGTTTGAAAATGTCAAACAATTTAATTGTATAATTGTCTTGTTCTGAATTTCAATTTGTTAACAACAATTTGTTTCTTAATAAATATTCTATAAAATTGAATATCGTTGTGCGTTCCGCTTAAAAGGCAGATATATACGGGGAAATCTTTCCGATAATAAGAAGAGGAAAAACTATATATTTCCCAATAGGTTATGGGCCCAGGGCGTTGTGGTCTATTTTAAGCGGAATTGGATTTTGTGGTTAACGCAAGAACATAGAAAAGAATTGTCATGGCGACGTCTCCAATGTTCCAGATTGAGAAGCTAGATGAACATAACTATGAGACATGGTCCGTGCAAATGCGCAGTGTGCTAATTCACACAGGATGCTGGAAACATGTAAATGGTGATGCGAAGAAAATCCCGAATTTGACTGCAGAACAACAACAAGCATGGGATGATGTTGATGAAAAGGCTCTTGCTTCTTTGACTCTTTGTGTGAAGCCTTCGCAGCTGAACTATATCAAGAATTGCAGTACGTCAAATGATGCCTGGGAAAAGCTAAAGGATGTGTATAAACCTAGTGGTCCTATGCAAAAAGTGTCATTGTATAAGAAGCTATTAAATCTCAGCATGAAGGACAGCTCAAATATGTCTGAATATTTGAACAAATTCTCTAGTATTTCAGATCAATTGGCAGAAGCTGGTATACAAATCCAGGAGGAACTTTTGGTAATAATCCTATTGTCGAGTTTGGAAAAGGATTTTGACAATTTTGTAATTGCCATGGAAACAAGGGACAGTCTTCCTACGCTTATGGTTCTAAAACAGAAATTGCTGGAAGAATGGGATCGGCGAGAACAAAGTACAAATGGAAGCGTATCTACAAATCAGCAAGCATTCGGAGCTGTTGGTATCAAGGCAAAAAGAAATGGTGGTAAGAAAGGTGATCGAAGAAATGAAAAGGGTGCATGTTTTGTTTGTGGTAAAAAAGGTCACTACGCTAACAAATGCAAGTTCAAAGATGGTGAACATAAATCATTCACAGTAATCGCTGTTGCAGCCGGAACGCAAACAGAGAATGATTTAATGCAATGGTGTGTCGACAGTGGAGCGACAAGCCATATGTGCTCCATGAAAAATTATTTTACAAGTCTTGAAGATTCAGAAGAGACCATCATGTTAGCAGACAAGAAAGTCATCCAAGCCAAAGGAAAAGGATTCGTCGAATTGCGAGTAAACGGATGCAAGATTAAACTGAAGAATGTAATCTATTGTCCTGAATTGAATGGAAACTTTATTTCCGTAAACAAGATGGTTGAAAATGGATGTTCGGTGAATTTTTTCAAAAATGGTGCTGTGATTACGGATGAAGGCCGTACACTTTTTAGAGCTGCCAGGAAAAATGATTTGTTCGTCTTCGATGCTCAACCTGTAAGTAACCAAATTTTTTCTATTAATACTTCCGATAGTCTATGGCATAGAAGATTTGGCCACCTAAATTATCAAAGCCTGAAAGAGTTATCTTCTAAGAATTTGGTCAATGGCATGACATTCAATTCACACAGTGGCGAGAAATGTGATGTGTGCATGATTGGGAAAATCCACGCTGCATCTTTTCCCAAACAATCGGAGAGAAAATCAAAGGAACTGCTTGAAGTAATTCATTCCGACGTATGTGGTCCGATGAAAGTTGATTCTGTAGGTGGATCAAAGTACTTCGTGACATTTATTGATGATAAATCCCGCAGAATATTCACATATTTTATGAAGAAAAAGTCAGAAGTTTTCGAAAAGTTTAAGACATTCAAAACCATGGTGGAGTTGCAAACTGGTTGCAAAATTAAAGCATTAAGAAGCGATAATGGTGGAGAATATCTTTCCAACGAATTCAACAAGTACCTTGAAACTAATGGAATTAAACGACAATTAACTGTTCCCTACACCCCACAACAAAATGGTGTAGCGGAGAGAGCAAATCGTACATTAGTTGAAATGGGACGTTGTCTTCTTATTGAATCAGGGCTTGATCAAAGATTGTGGGCCGAAGCGGTTGCTACTGCAACATATCTAAGAAATAGAAGTCCGTCAAAAAGTTTGGAAAATACTACTCCAATGGAGGTATGGTCTGGGCGGAAACCAAGTGTTAATCATTTGAGAGTTTTTGGTTCTAAAGCTGTTGTGCTGAACAAAAACGCAAGAGGAAAATTTCAAGAAAAAGGCGAGAAAATGGTCATGGTTGGATACTCATTAGTGTCTAAAGCCTATAGGCTCTACGATCCTAATCTGAAAAAGTTATGGAAAGACGGGACGTCATTTTTGATGAAGATAAGACATTAGAAAAATCACAAGAGCAAACACCAGAATTGTATTTTTATGTGCCACCTGAAAATTTTGAATCTCTGGAATCTACCGAAGTGGAAGAAACACAGGAAATGAATATAGAACTCAATGAGGAACATTCAAGTTCGGATGACAATTTTCAAGATACAGAAGATTTTTTGGGATTTACTTCTTCAGATGAACAAGAAAATCCTGAACCTGCAACTGTTCAAAGAGGAAGAGGTAGACCAAAGATTATTAGAACTGGTAAACCTGGTCGACCCCGAAAAGAACATAACTTACTGAATAATGTGGTGGAGGATGGTATTCCTAAAACGTATAAAGAAGCAATATCCAGTAAATTATCTGCTAAATGGAAACAAGCCATGGAAAATGAAATGTTATCACACCATCAAAATAATACGTGGACAATGCAAGATCTTCCGCATGGATGTAAGGCAATCAATTGCAAATGGGTTTTTGCAACCAAGAAAAATAGGAAAGGACAGGTGGAGCGACATAAGGCACGGCTAGTCGCTAAAGGTTGTAGTCAGAAATTCGGCATAGACTACAATGAAACATTTTCGCCAGTGGTAAGATATTCCACTATTCGAATGTTACTTGCTTTAGCGGTAGAACACAAAATGCATTTACATCAACTAGATGTAGTCACGGCGTATTTAAACGGAGAATTGCACGAAGAAATCTATATGCGTCAGCCAGAAGGATTTATCGATGAAAAAAACAAAATAAAGTTCTGCGCTTAAACAAATCCCTTTATGGCCTTAAACAAGCGGGTCGGGAATGGAACTTAACGCTAAATAACTTTCTGTGCAAGATAGGATTTCTCAGATGTGACAACGAACCTTGTATGTATAAATCAAATCGAAACGGTCATTTGATGTTAATAGCTGTCTATGTGGATGATTTAATAGTTGGATGTGAAAATGAAAACGAAATTTTGAAACTTAAGGAAGAAATTGCAACCAATTTCGAAGTGACTGATAAAGGACTGTTAGAGCACTTCCTGGGAATGGAGTTTCATCGAGATGGAAAAACCGGTGAAATTAAAATATCTCAAACTAATTTTATAAACGAAATGTTAAAGGAGTACGGTATGGAGAATTGTAGACCAGTTTCAGTGCCACTGACTCCTGGTTTTCAGAGTAATTGTGAAGGTGAATGCAGGAAAATAGATCCCACCGAATACCAATCTTTGATCGGTTCCCTGCTTTACTTGGCTCTGACAACTCGCCCTGATATACTCCATTCAGTTACCAAGCTTTCGCAAAGAAATGCGGATCCACACTTAGAACATTGGACAGCAGCAAAACACATTCTAAGATATTTAAAAGGTACTAAAGATATGAAACTTCACTTTAGTTGTGGAAATGGCAAACTCATTGGTTACGCAGATGCTGATTGGGGAGGATGTACTACAGATAGGAAGTCATATTCTGGATCAGTATTTTTTATTGGAAATTGTGTGATTTCTTGGGAATCCAAGAAACAAGATATTGTCGCTTTGAGCAGTACCGAAGCAGAGTATGTTTCAACTTCTAACGCATCGAAGGAAGCTGTATATTTAAGTCGATTACTTCACGAACTGGGATTTCTGCAAGAAAACTGCGTTCCTATCAATGTCGACAATCAAGGTGCTTTGCAATTGGCATATAACCCGGTTCATCATAAACGGACAAAACATGTGGACATCAAATACCATCACATAAGAGATTTAATAAAATCAAATACAATAAAATTGGTTTATTGTCCAACGAATGATATGGTTGCCGACATATTTACGAAAAACCTAGCAAAGTCGAAACATCAAAAATTTGTCAGTCTAATCAATTTGAAGTAAATCAAAACGTGAAGAATATGCATGTTGTGGTGGAGTGTTGGAAAAACACTTTGTTTGAAAATACTTTGTTTTAATTTATTTCAACAAACATATTCTTCTTTGAAAAGCTTTGTGATTTTCTAGTTTGAAAATGTCAAACAATTTAATTGTATAATTGTCTTGTTCTGAATTTCAATTTGTTAACAACAATTTGTTTCTTAATAAATATTCTATAAAATTGAATATCGTTGTGCGTTCCGCTTAAAAGGCAGATATATACGGGGAAATCTTTCCGATAATAAGAAGAGGAAAAACTATATATTTCCCAAAACAAAATAGCACAAAGCTTTAAAGGAAATCATAGCAGGGCACTTGAAATATATATTTTTTTTAGGTGGGAATATAAGTTTCATTGATAAGTGCATCAGGCGGAGAATGGGGTTCTGTTTTCAAAGGGGGAAAAATTAGAATAATTTTAAAATTATGCGTATTACACGAAATTCTCCAGATCTTTAGGATTATATGTGGATTACATAAATAATGTGAATGATGTATCTATGCCAATTTAAGAATATAGATAATGTATCTATGTCATCCTAGGAACGTGAATAATGTATCTATGGCATTTTGAGAATGTGAATAATGTATATATGTCATTCTAAGAAGGTTAGAAATGTATGTATGGGATTTCAAGGACGTGGATAATGTATGTATGGCATTATAATAATGTGAGTAATATATCTATGTCATATTAGGAATGTGGATAATGTATCTATGAGATTTTAGGAATGTGGATAATGTATCTATGCCATTTTAAGAACTTGGATAACATATCTATGGCATTTTAGGAATGTGCGTAATGTATCTATGACATTTTAAGAATATGGATAATGTATCTATGTCATTACAAGAACATGGGAAATATATCTATGTCATCCTAAGAATGTGGGAAATGTATCTATGGGATTTTAAGAACGTGTATAATGTATCAATGCCATTCTGGGTATGTGGATAATGTATCTATGTCATATAAGTAATGTGTATGATGTATCTATGCCATTTTAGGAATATGGTTAATGTATCTATATTATCCTAAGAACGTGAATAATGTATTTCTGGGAATTTAAGGACGTGAATAATGTATGTATGGCATTTTAAAAATGTGAGTTATGTATCTATGCCATTTTAAGAATATGGAAAATGTGTCTATGTCTTTTTAGGAATGTGGATAATATATCTATGCCATTTAAGAAATTTTAAGAATGTGTATAGTGTATCTGTGCTATTTTAAGAATACTGGTAATGTATCTATGTCATCCTGAGAACGTGAATAATGTATCTATGTCATCCTGAGAACGGAGGGTATATTAAGTTCGATATTCCGTCTGTAACTCATCGAAATAATAAATTTGTCCGTCCGTCTGTTGTAATAACGCTAGAGTAAAAACGAATAAAGATAGGAAGATAGGAAGGTAAACTACCGATATTCGGTAGTTTAATGATTTTGGCCACATTTTTTAGTAGAATCGTCTGAAATTTGGCACAAAGAGTTCCTTGCAAGTACTTTAGCCCCTGAAAGAGAATTGTCTATATAGGACTACGTTTTAGTATAGCACCCATATAACGGTACCCCCAGATATTCGGCATTTCCATGATTTTAGTGACGTTATTAACGGAAAATTGCCTATGCAGGTTCACGTCTTCGTATTTGAATGATTTATTGAATGTCATTATTCACTAGATTTTTTTTTATTTCTGATTTGAAGTTCCTAATGGGTACTATAGTCTATGACAGAAAACTAACTATTCACGCCCAGGTTCTCGTATAGCCTCCATATAACAGTACCTCCCTACATTCAGTATTTTGACGATTGTATTCGGATAATGTGGATAACTTATTTATAGCATTCGTATAATATTGATAACTCATTCCTATCACCCGGATAACGTTTATAGCTTTCGGATAAAGTGGATAACTTAAATATAGCTTCCGGATAACATATTTATATTATCCGGATAATGTATATGACTTATTTATAAACTCCGGATAATGTGCATAACCCATTTTTAATCTTCCCATAACGTTTACAACTCATTAATAACCTTCCGATATGCATTTGAATAGCATTAAGCGGATCAAGCATTTATAGCATCCGGAGATGACAGTTAACTCCTTTCACCATCAGAATATAGTGGATGACTCACTAATAGCATTGGAAAATTTCAAAAAAAAATATTGTTGTTGCAAAAAAATACGTTTGTTGTATTTATAAAAAAATATTTGTTAAAAAATCCACGTTTGTTGTATTTATAATTTTTTTTTTAAATCCACGTTCGTTGTATTTATAAAAAAATATTTTTTAAATCGATGTTCGTTGTATTTATAAAAAAATATTTTTTATATCCACGTTCGTTGTATTTATTAAAAAAAATATTTTTTAAAAATTTCACGTTTGTTGTATTTATAAAAAATATTTTTTTAAAAAATCCACGTCTGTTGTAGTAATGAAAAAATATTTTTTAAAAAATCCACGTTTATTGTATTAACGAAAAAATATTTTTTTTTTAAATCCGCGTTTATTGTATTAATGAAAAAATATTTTTTTTAATCCTCATTTGTTTCTTAATGAAAAAATATACATTTTTTAAAAATCCTCATTTGTTTTTTAATGAAAAATTATATATTTTTTAAAAAATCCTCATTTGTTTTTTAATGAAAATATACATATTTTTTAAAAAATCCACGTTTATTGTATTAATGAAAAAATAATTTTTTTATTCACGTCTGTTGTAGTAATGAAAAAATATTTTTTAAAAAGTCCACGTCTGTTGTAGGAATGAAAAAATATTTTTAAAATAAATCCATATCGGTTGTAGTAATGAAAACATATTTTTTAAAAAATCCACGTCTGTTGTAGTAATGAAAAAATATTTTTTAAAAATCCACGTCTGTTGTAGTAATGAAAAAAATAGTTTTTAAAAAATCCAAGTCTGTTGTAGTAATGAAAAAATATTTTTTTAAAAAATCCACGTCTATTTTAGTAACGAAAAAATATTTTTTAGAAAATCCACATTTGTTGTTGTGGTAGTGAAAAATTTTTTTTTTTAAAAATCCACGTCTATTGTAGTAACGAACAAATATTTTTTAGAAAATTTACATTTGTTGTAGTAGTGAAAAAAAAATTTAAAAAATCCACGTTTGTTGTAGTAGTGAAAAAATACTTTTTTAAAAAATTCACGTTTGTTGTAGTAGTGAAAAAATATTTTTTAAAAAAATTCACGTTTGTTGTAGTAGTAAAAAATATTTTTTTAAAAAATCCACGTTTGTTGTAGTAGTAAAAAATATTTTTTTAAAAAATCCACGTTTGTTGTAGTAATGAAAAAATATTTTTTTAAAAAATCCATGTCTGTGGTAATAATGAAAAATATGTTTTAAAAAATCCACGCTTGCTGTAGTAATGAAAAAATATTTTTAAAAAATCCATGTCTGTTGTAGTAATGAAAAAATATTTTTAAAAGAATCCTCGTCTGTTGTAGTAATGAAACAATATTTTTAAAAAATCCATGTCTGTTGTAGTAATGAAAAATATTTTTTTAAAAAGTCCACGCTTGTTGTAGTAATGAAAAAATATTTTTAAAAAATTCATGTCTGTTGTAGTAACGAAATAATATTTTTTAAAAAACTCACGTCTATTGCAGTAATGAAAAATATTTTTAAAAAAATCCACATCTGTTGTAGTAATGAAAAAAATATTTTTTTAAAAAATCTACGTATGTTTTAGTAATGAAAAAATATTTTTTAAAAAATCCACGTCTGTTGTAGAAATAAAAAAATATTTTTAAAAAATCCACGTCTGTTGTAGCAATGAAAAAAATATTTTTTTAAAAAATCCAAAACTGTTGTAGTAATGAAAAAATATTTTTTTAAAATCCACGTCTGTTGTAGTAATGAAAAATTATTTTTTATAAAAAGCCACGTCTGTTGTAGTAATGAAAAAATATTTTTTAGAAAATCCACGTTTGTTGTAGCAATGAAAAATATTTTTTTTAAAAGATCCACGTCTGTTGTAGTTATGAAAAAATATTTTTTTAAAAATTCCATAAATGTTGTAGTAATGAAAAAATTGTTTTTAAAAAATCCACGTTTGCTGTAGTAATGAAAAATATTTTTTAAAAATTCCACAACTGTTGTAGTAATTAAAAAATATTTTTTAAAAATTCCACGTCTGTTGTAGCAATGAAAAAATAGTTATTAAAAAATCCACGTCTGTTGTATTACTGAAAAAGTAAAAAAAATAATATTTGACCATTACTTTCTCATTTTCACACACAAACGCCAATGTATCTAAAATTCTATTGTGTTCAATTTCTTGGCTAAATCTTGATAGCATTGTTCTGCTGTCACACAGATAATGAAGACACCAAACAGATTGCAAAACTCACACCAGCGAACCCAAGAACGCTCAAGGCCGCCACGACCAGAAGAAATATATTTTTTCTTAAGACAACCAACTGCCTGCGATTGCTTTTGTTGCCGTGGCCTAAATGTTCGCTGGAACGAATTGAGGAACTTAAGCGACATCATCAATGAGCCGCCAAAAACTTTGGCAATATTTATAATTGTGTGTGTGTGTGTGAGTGTTTAAATTTGAAATCTAAACGTGACATTCTTATCAATACTTTGTTTCGCCAACAGAAATTCACGAAGAAAGGTGTTCGAATTGAAAGAAATGGCAAAAACTGTATGGAAATTGCTTTGAGAGCAATTAAAAAAAAGAAACTGTTTGGAAATATTTTTGAAAAGGTACAGGGGAGGGAGGATGAAGTAGCGTTCGTTACAAAATATCTTGAAAATGTGAATTTGAATATTATTGGAAATGAAGTGAATTGTTAGTGGAATTGTAATTGTAAATGCAATAAAATCAGAGGGCTGTACCCACCCTCCCAGTAACAGCCTTCATTATACTTCCCGTGAGTTGTGTGTTAACGAAATACAAAATCTAACGAAGCCAGTTGCCAGT